CATGGAACCACTAAAAAATAGCTAATTATCATGCAAATTAGGTAATTAATATGCACGGATTTTTACCAAAAATTAATCAAATCTGCGCATATGTTCAGAGCATCTATGTACCAAGTTTCATCAAAATCCAATGAGTGGTTCTTTAGATATCAGTAGAAAAGTCATAGAACAGCTAAAAATTAGCTAATTATCATGCAAATTAGGTAATTAACGAGCATGGATTTTTACCAAAACCTAATCAAATCTGCGCATTGGCCCAGAGCATCTATGCACCAAGTTTCATCAAAAACCGATGTATGGTTCTTGAGATAGCAGTGGAACAGTCGGACACACATACACACATACACACACACATACACATACATACACACATACACACATACACACACACTAACTGCAAAGACTCCCATTTTGTGCTTCGCACATGGGAGTCAAAAACACCCTTTATGAATAAGCTATCATGTTGCAAGCTCTGCTTTGTATGCAAATCAACTTAAATAGTTAGTTAGTGTCCAGTGGAGGAAGAAGTCAACAGTACTGTTGCCTCCTGAGAATCTACATCTTCAAACACTGCAATCTTTTTGAAGTGCGTTTTTAAATTAGTATTATAAAAACTGTATCATTCTGTTTTAATAACTGAAACATAATCCTGTGAGTTTTCGTTTGTCGAATGAACTGTTTGTCAAATACAGAATACATATATTTTAGAACAATTTTCTTTTTAAAATGTTGATGAAATGTTTTGCTTTTTATGTATTTTTTATGTATTGTTTTTGATTTGATAACTTTGAACTAAACAGATTTACTATTAGCTTCAGATCTTGATCAAAGTTTGGCACCCAGTTGATCGGAGTGCTTATATTGATTTTCTGACATCTTGTATTGGTAGGTTTGCAAATGTGTATCAGACTGTGCAATCTCTCCATGAGTTGGTTTTGAAACCCAGTATGGGATTCTGGGATACATTACCAAAAATATTATTACAAGATAAATCAATTGCTTCATTGAACACATACAACTATGCATATTTCCACTGAGATCAGTGACCTTTGATGTGTATCACCAGTGATCAGTCAAGTAGAAACAGTCAAAATATTTTATCAGATTTTCCCAATTTTTGCATGATATTTTTATACAGGACATCTGTTGTTCAAACTCAGGGATGACTTTATACTGATGAATAAGGTGACCAAGTTTGATGAAGTTTGGAATAGAATTAGTAAAGCTATTATGCACACAATAATAATTATTAACGATGACGACGACAACAACAACGCCGGACAAAATTTTTCCCTTAATATAACGTTTCCCTTCCATCTTTGATGGTACGGGCAAGGTAAAAACCATAGACACACTAATGTCACAAAATCAAAGCAAGCTTAACAAGACATGAATGTCACAGTTCCCGTCATTTAATTATAAAATACTCATGTTAAAATAATACATATAACATTTACAAACAATTGAATTAATATGTACTCTATGTGGGTACAACTCATCATAAAGTGATTTCCCTTAATCTGATAACTAAAATTTTCATTGATCGGGTCCAAAATCTCAGAGTACACAAGTGCAACCAAACTATGTTTCATACATCCTCAAGTAACTGCATTCATAAATCTGAGTAAACCTTGATGTACCTTTAATAACAACTTGACTTCTTTGCTAATTCATGTCTTTGAATATTACCAGGACCTGAGTTTGTTTCAGTATCACCACTATAATTCCCATCAAAATGTAGCCCTGACACCCCTCTACAGTTTCCACCAAGATTGGTAATGGTACAACCTATCTCTCACTGATTCAGATGAAGGTCGTGACATCACTAAAAACCCTAGCATTACAACAAAGCTAATTATTTATTCTGAGCATACTCGGTTGTTCTCTCAGTGGTATTGGGAGAGGTAGT